TATGCGCGATCAAAAGTTAGAATACAAACTGCGCTGATAAAAATACACGACTGTTAGTTAGAGTAGTTTTCTAGAGGCAAGCAAATGTTTGTTTGTAAATATCGACAATAAAATAATTTCATGACCGCAGAGAGAAAGGTTAGGTCGAATCCTTCGAGCTCTCAAAAAATTGAAAAATTATCTCTGGAAGCCCTTCAAAAAAATTTTTATTTTAAAATAATTTTATCAACCTCATAAAGATCACATACCGCCCTAAAAATTACTATGATACTTATCAAAAATTAATACATATCGATTCTGTAGCCTCTTTTTTTAGCGAGCATAGTAATATTTGGTTAAGAATGTGTTGATATTTAACATAGTATTTCTCTCTGTGTATTGACGGTCGTAAGGCAGATATGGGTCAAAATAATACTTTTTTGAATTTTCGTCCGCACGTATGTCACCGATCTTGATGCGCTTTCGGTATGTCATAGTACATTATAAAAAAGTTCCAAAACCAAAATTTTGGACCCCCACTCCCCTCCTGACCCCCTCATCCCCTATAAACGTCCATTTTCTATCTATATTTTTTCTGAAGGCCTGAAGCAATTAAAAAATCTGAAAAAAGTCACAAAAATACTTTCCAATAATCCAAAGAACCTTGAATTTTTTCAGATTTTTTGAGTGCTTCAGGCCTTCAGAAAAAATCATTAAAAATTTTGAAAACTCATGTACGGCGTTAAAATGCAATAACTTTTTCGAAAATTTTTTCACTTTTTTATTTCATTGAAAAAGGAACCACAAATTTTTTCAAATTTTTTCAGAGATTTGAACGCCCCTTTTGAAGCCCAAAACCCCTTTTTTAGACGAAAATGATTTTTTTGGTACGCTACGGAGCCTCGAAAAATCTGGAAAATTTTTTTTCTTGTTTTTTTCATCAAAATACATAATCTCAAATTTTTCCAGATTTTTTAATTAAAGGCGGTAGCTTCTAGAACCGAAAAATGTTATTTTTAACAAAAAAGGGTTCCTAGAATCCGGTGGTTCCGGAAAAAAAAATTTGAAAATATATTTTTTGAATTCCTTGTCAAGTAGACAAAAGTCCAATCACTTTTCTATTCTTACTTGTAACAAGTCGAATAGTCAAAAGCTGATTGATTTAGGTCGAGAGGCACTCATACTAGTACTCTAAACTCGACCTTTTCTCTTGCGGGCACGATTTTTTAGTGGCGCCGCGCCACCTGGCGACCGAGTCGGAAGCTTGAAAAGTCGAAAGTGGGGAAAGGTAGTGAAATGATGAGGCGAGTAGTTTTTTGTAAATTTCACCAAGTTCGCTATTGAAATAATTCTCTAGGTCGCAACTCTTAAGAGCTCGTCGCCGCGTATGCGAGGACGCGAGTCGATGTGCTCTGGCTGGCGGCCGAGAAACGACTTAGCTTTGCTTGGCCGGGCGCCTCGCTTATATAGGAAGCGAAAGCGCGCTGATTGGCCGTCGGCGCAAGGTGGAGACGCGTGCTGCTGTGCACGTCGTCTGAGAGGGGACGCACGCAATGGTATGGTAATGCGTATGAGGTTAACAAGCTTAGTTCTGTCCGGGATATTGTCAAGTGAAGTTTATGGAGCAGAGTCTTGAAAATAAATTTTACTTGATCTTTATTTGATATGCGCAAAAGAGAAATTTTTTTGCATGACTTTTCCATTGTAAAAATATCATAAAGTTAAAATTTTTTTTTAAAAATCTATGCTTAAGGGACTTTTAATGTGCTCTTTCAGAATCCCGTGTTACTTTTGCAATAAATAAACATTCGAATCGTTTATTTTGCGATTAAAAAAAACCTGATTAACACCAGAAATCGTGCACTTTTTCTCTGAACTTACAAGTAGCTGCTATTTCTATCTAGCCCCTATATTTCTAAAATGGCAGATTTATACCGAGCAGCAATATAAAAATTCACTCATTTTTTACGGGGAAATTATTGACACTATGATAAAAAGTTATAGAATGAAAAGTGTTTAGAATAGTTTGAGCATTAATGGGTTAATTTGCGGAGCCACGACTGATTTTTCGCTGTCTGCGTTCTTATGTTCTTTCATATGATTTGTTAGCATTCATTGAGATTATGTGAGTAGTGGACGTTGTACGACTTACCATTTGTACCTACACAGGCGTAGCCTGAACTACAGGATTATTAATCATTTAACTTTTCGCGATTGTTAGAAACTAATACATATTCTCTTTTTGGAAAACTCGCGGGAAGTTATTTTTATTATATCTGATTGAAACGGAACATCTGAAAGATGATTTTTCCATGTTCAATCGTAATCTCAATGAATTCATATTTCGGGCGCGTAAAGGTAAAAATTAAAATAAAAACTAAGCCCACGGTGGAAGAAGGGCAGGTCCCAATAGGTGGTGACCTATCAATTTAGAAAAAATTAGTGAATAATTAACATCTCTCGACCTCTTGTACACCAAATAACGATGATATCGGCAAGGGTCTCGGTAGCTCAGATGATGATTTTTATCATAGTGTCAATAATTTCCCCGTAAAAAATGAGTGAATTTTTATATTGCTGCTCGGTATAAATCTGCCATTTTAGAAATATAGGGGCTAGATAAAAATAGCAGCTACTTGTAAGTTCAGAGAAAAAGTGCACGATTTCTGGTGTTAATCAGGTTTTTTTTAATCGCAAAATAAACGATTCGAATGTTTATTTATTGCAAAAGTAACACGGGATTCTGAAAGAGCACATTAAAAGTCCCTTAAGCATAGATTTTTAAAAAAAAATTTTAACTTTATGATATTTTTACAATGGAAAAGTCATGCAAAAAAATTTCTCTTTTGCGCATTAATGGGTTAAAGAAAACGAAGGACACAACATGGATTGGGCTAACGTTGCGCCTGCAAGATGATCGGCGAAACGTTGATTAGGGAATAGAAGTGAGTGATTATTCACTTCCATTCACTGTACATTTTTAATAAATTTGTCAATGGCACTGCCTTTATTTCCGTTTTATTTACAGAAGGTGTAATAGTTTTGGAAAAAACTCTTTGCCAATGGATATTCTTTTTAATACCTGACTCAACAGTATCTATGAATAATTGAATAAACTATTTTTAAAATTAAAAACTTGAAATTAAAAAGTGAATCACTGATTTTTAAGATTCAATGAAAAAGAATATCTAAATACTTGAAAAACCAAAATTTAAAATATTAAATTAGCTGTCTATGAACAGCCATCAAACGTGAAACTTCTTTAAAATTGGTTAACTGAAAAAATCAAAATATCAAAAAAGAAAAATCTTGAAAAATTAAAAATAATTGATAAACAACATTCAAAATCATTGACATTCAAAATCAAGAAAAATTAAATAAAATTCCAGAAAGAAAATTCAGCCAAGGAAAAAGACTCTCAAGTTTCACTTCTGTTGTTCAGATTATCTATAATAAATTTAACTATTTGAAAATATTACATCCCGTGGTCGGGATTTAACAATAAACTATTTATTTCTTAGACTTGTTACCGAGGTGGAGTGATAATAAAGGAAGACTGAATTATTTGGTTAAGGTTTATATTTTATTTTGGTAGTAAGATGGTTTACAATAATATTAATTATGATAATTAATAAGCAGCACTGTTTGCGTCCTAGCTGCTTGGAGTCGTTGGCTGCCTGCGATGTCGCTTGCCTATTGACGTCGTTGGCTGCCTGCGATACACCTTGTCTGGTTGAAGTCTGGATGAAGGCTGGATCGCGCAGGTGCACTCGCTCGTGCGGTTACAATATTTTTATTCGCACATCACTCCCGTTGAATACAACAATATTTTATATCTCATTGCTGACTATCTGCCTGAGCAGAAGTTCAGCGTTGGACAATACTTTTCGTTGAAAGACTATGAACGTTAAATCACATTTTGGAAAGATTCAAAATCTAAGAGTCTACCGCAACGAATCGTGACTATAAGAACTGTACTATACTGTACGCCGTATAAGAAATCGAAAATGACAGAGCTTGCGCATAATGGCTCGATGCGCGCCTGACAAAATTGGAGGAACCACAAAGCTCACGATACGTAGTGTGCGATTTCGTAGATATGAAGGAGCTGCTGAGACTCTTTTGTCGTAGCTTGTAAACACCTATATTTTCCCCCGCCTTAGCGGTTGCAGCGGAAGTAGCGAGCTCGATATGTGTCAATAATTGACACACATCTTGCATGCGCGTGTATATTACCAGACCCTGGTCCGCTCTCTTCCCGAAACTGGTAGAGTCGCAGCCACCGAAGTTTTATAGTTTTTCTCTGATATTCATTCATCTCGCTGCAGCGTGTGTTCATTTCTTTGCCGAGCAAATTATATTTTCGCAAGAGTTTAATTAGCAGAGGCCTAAGAAATAGGTGATGAATTTAGGCCGCTCAATTCGTCATTGTTTATACTGGCTGCGCGTGTCCGAAATGATGTTACGTTTTACTTGTCGTGCGTGTCATCGAAATTAAGCATAGAAGATGCGCAAGATACATTAAATTGCAATACACGTGTAGCTGCTCGCTAGCTGCTTCTCACAGTTTTATTGGTTTCTGTTATAATTATAATTATTTTTTATAGTAAAAGGTTGCATTACAGGCTGTAACAAAAACATCAAATCTGAGACTTCTGAGTCCTTTTCCTTGGTTAAATTTTCTTTTTCGGAATTTTATACAATTTTTTTTTTTTTTTTTAATTTTGATTTTTCAATTAAATTTCGATTTGCTTTTTGAAAAAAATAAGTTCAAAGTTTTTTATACCAAATTAACTCTCGTCTAAAGCGTTGTTGAAAAATTGAAAATTAAACTTTTCATAATTATTATTATCCCTCAAAATTACCCCGTAAAATTATCCAATTTCATAAGCAGTTAAAGCATATCTGTACTATTTAGGCTTTACTAATTACTTTTTTTGTTACAAACTTATAGTCATTCACGCAGATAACACTTAATTTATATAAATAAATGAATTAATGGTAATATATATCGTTTTCAGAGAAAGCATGCCATCTCATTTTAAAATAAAGGAATATTGCCCACTTGTATTTCGAAATTTACGTGAACGTTTTGGAATAGATGATTTGGATTACAAGGAGTCTATGACCAGGTAAGATAACAAAAAAGACAAATTTTATAATCATTATTCAAAGAATTTCCAAGTAGCTGAAATATGCCTGATTATGTCAAAAATTTTCACAGAAATCGGACGCTTTTATGTATGTATCAATCGAACTTTAAATTTCTTAAGTACGTCAATTGCAAACAGTTTTTAAGAGTTCAAGTTTTGAAGCATGAATTGTACATTTGAAGTTATCATTTATAATAACGCTTTCTACTATTAATGACCCGCTGAGTAGGGGTTTTGTAAGCTTCCGCGGGAGTAGTATAAGTACACACTCTTATACACGTCTAACATGGGTCTGATTATACCCCCCCCCCCTTCCTTCGTTCTAACTCTGCGTTGGAGAGCTTACGAAAACACTATTTTTGAAAAACTTTATATTCAATATATTAGTAGAAATTTTTAAATTTTTGATTAATTATTTTCTAAAGCCAATAATTAACCATTGTCAACCATTTTGGGTCCATCTTTTTTTTTTACCTATTCCGCCAGTTTTTCGTAAAATTTCAGCATTCAATATTAACTCACTAACGTCCACAATGACGAAATTTTGCTTCGCTTGAAAATGTGATTTTTTTCTAGTCCTGGGCCTTGAAAAGACTTTGCACATACATAATTTGACGTAAAATAGAATACCCTCTCTGAATCTGGACATCATTTTGTTCAAAAAATTGTAAAACTTCTCCAAGTTACTTCTACACCCACGATCGCCTCTGATCATATTTAAATTTTGAGTTTTAAATCGTATATTTTTTTTGTTTAAACAATCATTAAATTTTATCTATGTATCAAATCTTAAATCTGAACTGGGATTCTGAAAGGGCACTCAATTTTAGGTTAAATTGTGTATGTGCAAAGTGTTTTCATAGCTTATAAACATGGACGAAAATCGCATTTTCAAGCGAAGCTTAATTTCGTCATTCTGGACAACGGGTAAATTAGGGAAAAAATGGCACGGATTTAAGGTTGAAGTTTTACGTGACTATTATTGTAAAAAATTGTATGATGAAATGTAGTATTAAAAACCGAGTAAGTTACGTTTTTGCGAGTTTTTCGACATGTATTGTTGTCTACATTGCGTTACACTTTAAGGCTCATTACAAAACTTTATCAGGCAGTAGTTGACATCTTCAGGAAGCTTTTTACATAGTTTTGGAAACGAAAGTCTGGATCGAATTCGATTAGATTTCATGTTTTTTTGGTATTTTTTAAGATATTTCGGCTCCACAAGCTCCCAGATTGCTCCAATCATTTTGAAATATATTTTTTTTGAAACACTGATCTAGAAATTTGCGATTTTTAATAAATTTCGGAAAAATGCTAAATGGGCCAACTTTGGCCTTTTAAAAAAATGTCAAAGAAGGCCCCAATTTTTCTAGAATGTTTTTTGGAATAAATCTAAAATAGAAAACAACAAGTTTTTCATGTGTGCAAAAAAAATGTTATTTTGCCGTTCGACTTCACAGAGAATCGGCCTTATACAATTCTTGGAACAAAGCTATTGCTTGTTCACATTCGTGTCGAAATCGCAAACTTCGCACGACGAATCTTCGTCGAGAACTTCATCTGCTACTTTAAGTCCACTTTTCAGAAAATTTATAATTTGTATTTTATCAACGATCAACTTAACCCTTTAACGCCTGAAATAACCATTTTTCGACAACATCTATAGCGATGAATTAAACCGACTAAAAATTGTTTAAAAAACTTTTCAGCTATTATTTTATATGTAAAATTTAATGTACTTTTCGAATCTGGGATCAGAATTTTCAAATATTTATTTAATAAAAAGTTATAAACAATTTTGTAGAAAAAACATGACATTTCTAGAAAAAAATTTCGTTCAACTCAAATTTCAACACGGAAGGAAGGTTTACTCGTGCGTCTCACGCATATAGATTTGGTCAATGGCACGTATACTTTATTGTAAAATAGTTATAATTATGAAATTCAATATGGCGATCATAAATATGACTCCCGAAGACCTGTATGTCATAAAATAATTTCGACAATTTTTAACTCGATAACCATCAACTTTACGAGAAAAAGTTGTATAATAAAAAGAGTTCAGAATTGATAAAAGAACCCGCCTGATTTTTTTATCAATGCTAAACACTTTTTGTTCTATAAACATGCTTAAAATAAGCTTTGTATACATATTTCTGCTGTTGAATTCCTGTACGAGTATTCTACTCCTAATGTAAACACGCAATTTCTCGTTACGTCAATTTTTCCTAAATTTTCATAATTTTTGCTCGTTATAACCGACTCGAAAATCGAAATCGTGAGTAAAAACCGCGAATAAGTAAAACGGTATACGCGAATACGGATGGATATCTACATTTACAAAACCGCGATTAAGCGAAATGCTGGAATACGGAGGGATACCTGTAATGTACTTACAACAGGCGCAGCGCATGTACAGGACTCAGCAAGCAATATTTAAGGGGCACATACAGCTTAAAATCGAAATTTTTAAATAGGATTTTTCAGTAGAATTTTTCTCCCCTTCCTATAAAATTTTTTTAAATTTAGAAGTGTTGATTTTTTTTACTGATATACAACCATTTCTGTGAGCTATTTTCATATACTGTTAATTTTTTTTCTCATTCAGCGTTTCTGGTGTTGTACGTTTTTTTAAAATGCACTTCTTTTACCGTAAAATTCTGAGCGAACCCTTGAGGCTACAGCACCAGGGTCACTAATTGATTACACTCAAAACCACAGGTGAGGTGTTTAGACTAGTGGGTCACTCTCAATCAGTAGATTTATGATTGTGATAACAAAAAAAAAAATGAAGTAAAAAAAGTATGCTTTAGTGTTTTTACGGAGTAACCTACCAGTTTAATCACCTCACCTAAGGTAGGTTGTATCGAGTTCAGATTTCATTCGCTCACCGGTTATAGAATCAGAAAAATCATGTGCTATGAGAAGGATTAACGATAAATCTCCTGTAATAAAACATGATCGACTAAAACTATACACAATAGTTTTCGCTACTCAGTTAGTGGTAAACTCTTAATATACTTGGAAATTAGTTTTCTTTTACAGCTCACGCCCAATAAATAACACACACCGGATTTTTGGGCCCATTACCTATTCGTAGTAGGGATTTTTTGACTAAACTTTTTTAACTATAATTTTTCATAAAAATATTTTTTGTAATTTTGTTCATATACGTGTGTTCTCGACGTCAGCCTGTGCTATACTAAAGCAACACGGTGCTCTTACATCGGTCAAAGAGGTTGTAACAATAAGTGCGTCGGAAAAGTAAATACGAAAACTCAAATCACGATGTCTTATATTAATAATATTAATAATAACGATAACAATAACAATAACATTAAAAATAACAATAACAATAATAATAACAATAATAATGTTTGAGAAATATTCGAACAGTTATGAGCGCGTGGCTTGTACACACACGCGTTCACGTGCTGACGGCTGTTCTGAAGACTACAGTGTTCTGGCAGCATGATGTATCATTAAATGCCAATAAAAATTTACAAAACTGAACTGAACTGACGGCTGCTCTGCTACCTGCGCATTGTTCGCGATCTCGCTCTCTCGATTTTGCACTCGAGAATTCAGCAACTCGCGTGTATCTCGTGCGACGACCTTTTCCAACTGCCACTAAATTCCCGACGTCACCTCAACGAAAGCTACATCGAGCATCATCATCACGGATATTTCATCAACTCGACTGTTTATCTCAACAAGAGCCAAGCCTTTTAACAAGGACGTTTGTCAAGTACATCTCATCGAGGTACTCATCGGGGCTCGACTCATCGATCAACAAATCTGAAGCAGCTCATCGATTGCGACCAAATAAAGACATCATCCAGGCTGCAACTGAAGACCAATAATGTCTACTGCAGGCCTGGTGAAATCTTTTTGTCATCACCTCAACTCTCGGGATTATTTGGCGCATCTCATTTGCACGAGCGCACGACGGGAGAAAGTGAGGTTACACGCTGCCATGTGCAATTTCACGTGATCTCGGTCTATCTCAGTTCCGGGTGCACACATGCAAAGGAGAGGATTAATATAACCTCAATCGTTGTGCTCCGGTTTTCTCACAAATCAAGTTCAACTTGTTGTGAACTGAAGAGAAGCCTTGCACATCTCAAGTGCAACAAATCGCAGAAGACAAGTGTGGATTAATAAAATCTAGCTTCGCATCGACTGCTCAAATCATTTGTACAAACTTTTGACATATCATAGTGTAGAATCAATAATAATATCAGTGTACACAATAACTTTTATAATTGTTATCAACTTTCTCAATTTATTGACTCAGTTTTGGACAAATTAAGAGTGACTTGAGTGATAATAAAGAAAATAGTGAAAATAGAAATTAATGTCACCTATGCAGTGTTTTATTGTGAGACCTGACCGTACACCTATTAACTATTAATTATTTAAATAATTCTTGAACAAATATTTATAATAATGATAAGAAAATAATTAAAGGCCCCTTTTTTAGTAATTTCTGATCTTTTTATATATTTTCTTCCCATCTCTTTTTACTGCAATTGTTTTTTAAGATTTGAGAAATATTAATTTTATTTTTTACTAATTTGACTGGATACTTTTTGATAAATTATTATTAACTTCAAAATAAAGATACTTATTAATTTTATTATAACCTTAAGAATATAGAATTTTTAAAAAAGTTATTATAATTCATGTTAATTATTGTAGATCTCAACCTCTACTAGATGATTCATCCGGAAAAAGTGGTGCAAACTTTTATCAATCATACGATAAGCTTTTTATAATTAAAACACTAACAAGTGAAGAAGTAGAAAGAATGCATTCATTCTTGAAGCATTATCATCCGGTGAGTAAAGATTATATATGTTATTTTAAAGGCCTTATATATCTTAAAATCACATTATTTTAAAAAACATCAAAATATAAGTAAAAATGATATCTGGTAAAATTGGAAAATTCCTCTATTTTCCAACCTTTTTTTCAACCAGAAATCTTTCTGACATATCCTAAATCGACTTGAATACAGCCTAGATTGCCTAGATAAATCGAAATTCTAAAAATCAATCATACCCCCACTGAGCCTTAGAATTCCAAGTGATAACCCCCATGTCATTAAGTCAGTCATTGTATGGCAGAGTCTTGGCTATCGCCACTACTACAGGTAAGATTTTTAATTGGGCCCCACTATATTTTTAGTCGTTAAACCCACTTTTTAATCAGTTTTTATCCATTTTTTCAAAATTGTTTAGGTAGTTGGCTTATAGAAAGCCCTGCACAGGTTCAAACATCTTCCTTGTAGCAGTCATCATGCCCACAGAAGAAGCTCCTGTAACTTGGATCCTCTAGGAAAATTGCTTCTCTGGGAATATTGTGACAAGGCTCAATTTCACTCGCCATAAAAGACTTTACAGCTGTTTCCTACTTTGCAGCTTTCTGAATGCTGATCCAAAGATTCCAAAAATATGCTGTATAGCAACACGATCTTATGTTCTTTGAAACGCTCCTACTGCTTCAGTATAATAGGTGCTGACAGGTTTCATGCACCCCACTTCAAAGAATTGCATCATGTGCAAGCTGTGGAGTGTTAACCACAAAATACTCACGTTATTCTCTGTTGCCAAGTCTATAACGTCTAGTTTTTTTACATTGAAAGCATGTTCATCTAATATTAAAAACACTGAGTTAGTAATAGAGGCTCTTAAAAATTCAATATACTTTTTAGAGCATTTGGTAAATATATGACATTGTATCCAACTGCTTTTGTCAAAAACTACCCATGCTCCTGGAGCTTGTTTGCCAGAAAATCTGGATTTTTCCGTCCTCTGGGAAATATTAACATAAGAGGCATGAATGTACCAGCGTCAGACATACAAAAGGTGATAACGGTGAAACCGTATCAGCAGCTGTCTTGGTACCAACCTATCTTTCCCGTGTTGCAGATACTATGTGATTCCTGACTCATCACAATTATATATATTGCTCTTGTCAAACTTATATTTATTTTTAAGATTTTACAAGACATTGAAAAATTTTCTACACTCTTTATTGAATCCTTTGACTCTAAAGGCTAACGTAGGCTCTGGTTTTCTTACTGATAGATCATAGCATTTCATGTACAATCTGATCCAATCTGTATCAGCACATTCTGAAAGAAATAATTTTTTATGAGACTCCATGATGAAAATAGATACTAGAAAATATTTCACTATCGTCAAGATTGTTAAAATGTTTGACTTTGAGTTTCACTGTTTCATCAAATGCCAATTTTCCAATTTCTTTTGCAAACTTACTAAATCACTTTCTGCTTCTAGAATATAATCTACTAAGGCTTTTTCTTGTTCCATAGTAAATACTTGCTTAAAACCGCCTAGAAATGTAAACAAACAATTTAATAGGTTATGAATTCATGACGATGCCAAATATATAGTTAAGTAATCAACCCTTGATTTTATAGCTTAAATATAGAGTACTTACCTTGATAATCGTTTTGCTGAGAAGAATTCTCAGCAGAAATATATTGGGCTTTTTCTGAAGAGTTGAACGTGGGATACCGTATCATCTCGCAACTGCCAAAAAAGCTTTTCCATTACGAGCATAGTTTACAGTATATAGCATCTGCTCTTCAGTCCACTCATTTTTATGGTTTTGTTTAATGTAAAATACAGGCAAACCCCGTTATTCGCGGATTCGGTATTCGCGGTAACCCTGTTTGTGACCTCACTTCAGTATTCGCGGTATTTTGTTTCCGTATTCGCGGTTTCTTGGCTCAAAGTCAAAGTTAAGTTGAAAAATTGTCAACAAAAAAGCTCATAGTCACTATTACTTTTAAATTATTCTACTTTAATCTAGGAATTATTTCAATATTTGTGATTTTTTATAAATTTCGAAAAAACGCTAAAATGGCCAGCTTTGGGCCTCTGAAAAAGTTTCATAAGAGGCTCAATTTTTTCTACAATTTTTTTGGGACAAATCCGACATCAAAAACAAGTTTTTCATATTTGTAAAAAAAAAGATTTTTTGGCTATTCGACTTCACAGAGAATCGGCCATATGTTACAGGCAAAAGCCGCTTTCGTCGACTTTTGCTTAGGCAAAAATAGAAATGCCTATGATTTTAGGACACATCCGAAATGCTTTTAAAATCGGCATTGTCTAGCCGATTTTAGGCATTTTTATGTAGCTCTTACGAAGACGTCGGTCGGTCGTGGTATTATCGATATAAACACTACTATACGTAGTACTTCTGTTACCGCTACAAGGCGCTCTTCTAGTTTGAAAGAGGAATCGTCAAGTTCTCGAGATATATGTAAATAAAATTATTATTTAATTCATTATATCTTTTTTTTCGTAAAATATTCTTTTATTTTAAGATCGGAATTAGATATATGTCAGCATCAATTTTTGAATCCAAGAGACGAAACAATCAACTTCTGGGGGTCAAGGCTTCTTCAAATGTACTTGTAGAAAAACTTGTTCTACCAGAATTTCTATTAAAAAAAAAAAAAATAATGAGCTTTGTAACTCAAAATGCCACAATAGCACAACTTATCTAAATAAGTAATGAATTATCAATTCTATGATATATTGACAAATACCTCGAAAATTTGGTACCCGACCCTTTTCACGAATCGCGTTTCACGAATGACCTTTTTCACGAATAACAATTTTCACGAATATCTTTGTTCACGAAAGCAAATCTCACGAATACCATGTTCACGAAAATATTTTCACGAAAGTACTTTTTCACGAACGTACACATTTCACGAAAGTACTTTTTCACGAACGTACACATTTCACGAAAGTACTTTTTCACGAACGAACTTAGTTTTAAATGAACAAATTACTTGAATGTCGCTTCGTATATAAACTGCTATGTTCGCGTAGGATCATGTACCGATAATCTTCGACGGTTCATTTTTTATTTACATTTATTATTAACCTTTTTTAATTTTCATTCATATTTCGTGTTCGGGCCAGTAAAGCAATGGGTGAAAATCAAAATCAAGATCAAGTCATTTTGTTGGGGAGCAAATTAATTATAAATGGGTTTTTATACCACAACTCTCGTGATATAATTTAAAAAAATAAATCGTATTGGGACTGCACCAAGCGTTCGTGAACAAACGCACATGATGTTGGCACTAACGTTCGTCCCTATCGAAGACTTAAAAAAAATTGTCAAAAAGCTGCATCAATTTGTTGTTCCAGAGCTAGCGCCAGTTTTGGATTATTTTGAACGCACTTATGTCGGTATATCTGCGAAGGGAAGAAGAGCTGCTGTTATACCAGATTATGAACCGCATGTATGGAATCAGCGAGAGAGGCTGCCCTCACAGGACAACATAACACAAATAATATCAGTGAGGGTTGGCATAATGGTTTTCGGATACTCGTCGGCAAGAATCACCCAGATTTCTGCTATCTTTTACAGGAGCTTCAAAAAGAGCAGGCTGACACGGAGATAGCTATCACGGAAATGTGTTTGAACAGAAGAGTCAAAGAGCTGCCTAAAAAAAAAACGAGTTGATTATCAAACTACAATACAAAATTTAACTAATGAATGTCTATATTACTTTTAAATCTAATGGGAATGAATTGGAATTTTTGAAAATTATTGGCTCCAACATTGTTTTAGAATAAAGTCTCTTTATTTATAAAAAAAAATGAAGAATTTTTTATTCGCGAACAAAAGTATTCGTGAAAATGGTATTCGTGAGAATTGTTTTCGTAAATAAAGATATTCGTGAAAATCGGTATTCGTGAAAAAAGTCATTCGTGAAACGCGTTTCGTGAAAAGGGTAGGTAACCGAAAATTCTTACAGTCGTACAGAAGCATTAGTATTTATGTCGATAATATCACGACCGACCGACGTCTCCGAGGGGGCCACACGAAAATGCCTAAAATCAGTTAGGCATTGCTTGTTTTACCTAGAAATTTTTAGTCATTTCGAGTACTGCCTAAATTGTTTAGGAATTTCCTATAATTTTACCGGCATTTCCGTTATGTCCATTTCTATTTTTGACTCAGCAAAAGCGACTTTTGCCTGAAAACGGCTTTTGCCTGTAACATATATAAGCGCGTCCAGCATAAGTCGGCCACCCCGCGCGATTACGGCATTTTTGGCCGAAAGTGTCGTATGTTTAGCTCGCTCGGAATTGTTTACCAAGAGTAAAAAAAAAATCCAAACCCATGGATCGATAGATTTTTTCCTCCTCTTTCTAGTGGTGTAACTCAAAAAATTCTTAAAAACCGCACCAATCGAAAGAGGAGGCAAAAATCTATCGAAAACCATGTTTTCTAGGATGGAGAAATGATAAGAACTATTAAAGATATCGAAATGAATAGCGCGGGACGGCGCGCGTGGACCTGTTTTCCGTGCGCCAGCGGCGGTACACGCGCGGCGCCGTTTTTTTGTCTTTTCGACTCGCTCGTAATCGCTTAAAAAGGGCTGAAAAAATGATGTTAACACGTAAATTGATAGATTTTTTCCTCCTCTTTCTGATGTGTCTTCGTAACCTTGGATGTCAGAAATGCGTTTAACTCGGATAAACATCCTCGCCGCTTTGAGCCGAATTTACATACCTCAGTGACTGCTAAGAATAATCAATTAGTTATTTACATACCAAGGGCGAGAAGCTGAGTGGATAAGGTCGAGGAGATTCGGCAGTGGTTTGGCAGTGACAGTGACAGTCAGCTTAGCGGGCACGTAGCGGCCAAGTTCTGAAATTAATTCATCCTAATTTTAATTTAAAAATTCCTATTACTGAATGGCCAATCAAGCTTTAGAGTCCAAACCATCACGAGCTAATTCTTAGAAAATGTACTTGTGAAAGAAATACTATTGAGTAAGGTGCGTCGTCACCCGAGCCTTTTACACTCTTGAGAAAAATCCGACTTGATTTGTAGTGTTTTAAAGATTTTTTTATAAACTCCCATTATCCCAAAGTAGTATCGAGTGGAACATCCATTTTTTTCAAAACCACGTTTTTTTTATAAAAGCAGGGGATAACTTTTGACCTGAACATTTTTTTGAAAATCTGAGACTAGTTTCTGAAAGAACATTGACCTTAAAAAAACTATTTATCTTTTCTAGACTCGATTTTTATCAAAATTCAGTGACTGAAACAAATTGTGAAAAAACGACCTCTTATTGTTAACGACCGTGACTGTTGAAAGCAAAAGAAGTGATCTAAGACTTGTGATATTTTGTTCATTTAATTACATTCAACAAAACTGTACACTTCATTTTATATCTTGTTATACTTGTTATGACCCCAGAAAAATGAATACATTATTATATCAATCTCTAATATAACGTTAAGAAAAATCAGTATTGCTGCAATATTTCCTATTTTTCAGTACATCGTTGAACGTCATGGAAAAACGTTATTGCCGCAATACTTAGGAATGTACCGATTAACAGTTGATGGTATGGAACATTACGTAGTGTCTATGAGAAATGTTTTTTCAAACCATCTGACAACGCATAAAAAATTTGATTTGAAAGGATCAACTGTAGATCGAGAAGCTTCCGATAAAGAAAAAGAAAAAGAATTACCTACGTTTAAGGATAATGATTTTGTGAAAGAAAAAATGAAAATATACATAGGAGACGAAGCAAAAACTAAACTCATAAATACATTGTCTGCCGACGTTGAAGTAAGTAGAAAATTTACGATTTTCATTCATGCATTATCCTTAAATATTGACATACTATTCAATAGGTGCAAGTCATAATTTTGCAGCAAAAAAGTTGTAGTCTGAAGCAAAAACCCTATTAAAAAAACTATTGATTTTTACTGTTACCATTACCCGATACCACGCTTAAAATTCGCGTTTTTGGTAAAAGCATCATTTAACATTTACTATTTTTGGTGCACTCGAATTTTAGGCAGAGTGCGAGAGCATGCTTGTAGACATTTGTCAGAAATTCGATCTAGTTTTAGAACCGTATTATCTATAGTGCCTGATTGTAAAATAATCACGAGTGAATGTACTTTGGTACACAGTTAATCCTTACTTTATTTACTTTTTAATTCTCCAAAATATCTTTCAATCAATCGTACTCACTAAGCTTCACTTCACGTCTACACGTCACTTTGCAATACTACAATCACATATGTACGTCTGTAAATCGTCAAGGATACACAAGTTCAAAGGGGGACGAAAGGGTTATAACGCAAGCCCAACACAAGTCCTAATTGAGTGCCGCGTAATTTCACTGCATGCGGTAAGCTAACAACTCGACAAGATACAATTTACTACGAAATGCTACTCGCACGAGCAGACGCACGCTTTAATAGCACATGACCGATGTATAAGACGTGCGATCGCTTGCTCTAGCTTGAGCATCTAAGGCGGAACTTTCACACGACGATCTGTACTACAATCTACGCATCTGCACAATCGAAAATACACACTACGCAACTTCGTAAAATACCACACTCTCAACACTCATACATATAACAGTGTATATTACACACGACCGGTCAAGTCTAAATACTACAATAATCGACCCACAACTAATATCTTGCTTTCTTTGTCGCTATCAATGCCTTGGAAATTCTTCTTTCTCATTGCCGAAACTTTTTACACTGTATCCAAGATAACTAGGAAACTTACAATATCAATTTAAAACCTAAGCTAATATCGATTTTGTGAGTATTGTATAATGTAATCGATGGGTTTTACAGAACATGTATGAGCAGTTTTTTTACTTTTTGGTGAGTTTTGTAGGGAGGGTTTACGGATCTGCCCCAAAATTTAGTACATTATTTTATTTAATGAAAATAGCCTTCAGTTAAAATCTTAGCCCTCTAGGGCTAACAATTGAGCTCCTCGAAATTCTAAAAATACCTGCTTCTACGTATTTTTGATTATTTTTCTAACGTTTGTAGCTCAGCCACCAAAGCATATTTTTAAATGTACCTAGAAGACAATTAGATTAAGCTGGTGATCTCTGCATATTTCATATCAAAAGTATTTTTATTACCATTAAATTGCTCGGTTCAGATTTCAAATTGGTTAAAAACGACAGAGATTCAACTATGTAAAGATATTTGCTTGGAAAAAGTACATTTTATGAAAGATTCGCATTGGCCGTAACCCTGGTTTGGTATAATGAATCTTCACTCAATTTTATGTGAAAGTAGTTAAATACATGGGCCATATCACGTCAACCGTGATGGTCCAAAAAAATGAAATTGAAACAAATCTTCAAAATTTCCGCCCTGTAGATCCATGTAGTATGGACCTACAGGGGATCAAAATAAAATATTTGATTTTGAAAATTTTATTCTGATGTCCTACGGTAAATATAAAGACAATGTTGAAAATGATTTACCGTATTCAAATTGATAAAGAATTCAGATTTTTTATAAAAAAATAGCATAAAAGCCAAAAAATTAATGTGCTCGTATCCATCGATCAGTCCAAAATTGAAATATGTTCATTAGACCAAACCGCCTTTGCAACAATTTTCTGTACTGCCTGGGCTCATAGCTGAACTGAAAGTACAAAACCTGAACCTGAAACCTTGAACTTCCAGCTCAGCCATGAGCTCAGGCAGTACAGAAAATTGTAGCAAAATCCGCCTAGTCTAATATTTATCGATACTTCTAAGTACAATTTTTGATAAATAAAAACGATAAAATTTTCTTCAAATGGAATGAAAGGGCACAAGTCAGATGTTAAAATTAACAAATAAATAGCCCAACAGTTCATGAAAAGCTAAACTTGTTTACTGTTAATTGGCTGACAATAAAGAAGTATTGCTATACAATTAAATCTTATAAATTGACAGTACACCTAAAGGGGGTCACGAAAAAGTGACCAAAACGTCGTGAAAATAAAAAAGTGAAATTTTGACATCTGAGTTGTGCATTTTTATTCTAATTAAAGACAATATTCAACTATTAAGACAATATATATAATTTATGACAAAGTTTGGTGATGGTTGAAACAATAGAAACTATTTGAAAGCATTAGAGGGGTGGAAACATATATAAAGTCAAAGAAAAACCATGATTTTTACTGCAGAATCTGAAAAAACGGAAAAAAAAATAAAATTAAGGTCAAGTAAGGAAATTTTTTTTCCGACGGTCTGCTTATTGTAACCATTCAGATACGAACCCCTATTTTTACTACAAATTTTATTACAACAAATTGTACGTTGTTGCTTTTTCAAAGGTCATTTCAAGGACGTCACAGATACAAATAAAACCCGAAACTCTTGGAGATCCGGTCCGTGACACTGTTTCCTGACAATCAAGCCCATACGAAAATGCACACGCGAATCCAAGTCGTACATACCACGTGCACCTGTGGCATCCGGTGCTACTCGTTCACGCGAGCCCGGGTTGTACTTATCAGGTACACGCTTTTGCCACATACAGCGTCACAAATATGAACTCGCGTCGACTTCTCCGATTTCGGGACCACATTCAATATGGTCTGTGGCATGTCCGAAAGCGATCTCACGTGGCTCTCATCACTACTGGTGTTCACGCGGCTCACAGGCGTAACTTGGCCACCTGACCGATTCGTCGCCCCTATTCTAAAAGTCCTTAGACAAAATTCATACATACCGTGATGCGCTGGTCCCTCACACACACTTACACTCATGGGCCGCTGCTAGTGCTGCGTGGAAACATGTTAGCATTATAAAAATACACATTGGTGTTGCTGAGGCGACGAGAGAAGGCGGTGACCGCGTAATGCGCTAGTCACAGCATAAAGTAAATTACTCGATAGTTAATCGTACAAAAGGTACTTTCCCAAATGAACCCTGTCATTATCATTTACAATCTTTTATTTATGAGTTTTTATAATAGTAATTTTCGATACAAGTGCCATAAGTAACACTTTTTGGCACGGCGTAGTTTAGGGCCCGAGCGCAGCGAGGGTCCTAATAGCTGGGCCGAAAAGTGTCCCCTATGGCCCGAGTATCGAACAACATTTTATAGTACTGTGCAAAGTTCACATTTATGCCCCCTTTTCCGAGCCATGAGTCGCACTTTCTGGTAGCGCGAAGTGAGGTTAGCGCACGAGCGTATGCGAGTGTGATGCGAACGCAGCGGTGCCAGAATGTGCGACTTATGCCACCGAAAAGCGTGCCATAGATGTGAACTTATGCCACGCAGTGCTATAATAGTACTTTACGATACTAGTGCCATAAGTAACACTTTTCGTAGTTTAGGGCCCGAGCGCAGTGAGGGTCCTAATAGCTGGGCCGAAAAGTGACCCCTATGTCACGAGTATCGTACAACATTTTATAGCACTGTGCTAAGTTCACATTTATGCCCACTTTTCCGATGCATAAGTCGCACTTTTTGGTAACGCGAAGTGAGGTTAGCGCACGAGCGTATACGAGTGTGATACGAACGCAACGGTGCCAGAATTTGCGACTTATGCCATCGAAAAGCGTGCCATAAATGTGAACTTATGCCTCGCAGTGCTATAAAAAATTTTTTGTGTTATTTCAGTCTTAAATAATAATGCTCAACAAATATTGAAGTTTTAGCTCCTAATAGTATATTTATCAACTGGTGCACATATGGTTTCTTAGCAAAACGAGGGATTATAGCCCGAGCCGAAGGAAAGTGTTTTAACAAGTTTTGTTAAAAAACCATATTTGCATCAGTTGATGATACTATTTTTTCCTACGAAAGCCTAAATTTAGCGGCAACGTTGCGTATTTTAGGTTAGAGTAGAAAAAAGAAATTTTTTTCGTAAATTTTTTAGAATCCAAAAGAACAATTTTACATTGAACTTTCTTGAACGAAACAACTCAAATAAAGTAATTTATATATTCTTTTTCGTAGTTTTTAACTCACCTGCATCTTATGGATTATTCTTTATTACTTGGTGTTCATAATTGTGCTCGAGCTGAACAAGAAAATAAAGAACAAGCAGATAAAGGCGATGAAGATGATCAAGACGATGACGAAGACAGTGAATCTGGCAGCGGATTGGAAAATAAATATACTCTCGGGGAGTAAGTTCATTTAAACTTTTTTACATTCAATTTTTCAATAAATAATAATATTGAGTAACTAATCATTAATAATATAAAAAGCTATGATTCGATAATAATTTGAAATTATAGTGGATAATGATATTTATAAGTATTAAATATAAATTATGATCATTTCAGTCGTACCTGGGGCTGGAGTGGTGCTAGTGGAATGGCAACGCCGCCAGAATCTCCTCAGGGAGTAGTAACACGCGATGCGAGCTTACAAGATGAGGACTCTATCATACCAGAATTAGACATTTATGCTATTCCTAGTTCAGATAGTAAGTTACATCAATCTTTATTCGTTTCATGAAAAGTAATCATTAGATATCATAATTTAATTACAATCTCTACGATAATATATATTTCAGTTAAAAATGGGCTTAACTCAAATGCAGACTTGATTAAGCTTGAAGTTAAATTTCTCTTAAATCTTAAATTATTTTAGATAACTACAATACACGTTAAAGATAACTTATCTGCATAAGATTCACAAAATAAGTAGAAATAGTATATTACGGCCCTAGGCCGCGAAAAACACCGGAATACCTGTAATTATCCGATGAACACGGACTCTGGAGCTTTCTTTTTTCGCGGCTTAGGCGTGTATGCTATTTTTTCATACCAAGTATCTCGAAAATCGCTCTTCCCGCTTTGCGTAGTGGCAAGGAAGTAGTCACTTTCGGGCTGCTGGTAAGAAAAATAAATGTGTCTTCTATCATTTCATTCTTTAAATTAGGTATTGTTATCTTGCAAGTAATCAAATATTACATAGAATACACCATTATTGAACAATATTTATTTATTCATGATACTTTGATTATTTGACTTTGAATAATTTTCTTTCAACAGGTGCACCTGAAAAAGAAATTTACTTTTTGGCAATAATTGATGTTCTTACCCATTATGGCGTACGAAAACAAGCTGCTAAAGCTGCTAAAACCGTAAAATATGGAAGTAATGTTGAAGGTATATCTACTTGTGATCCAGAACAGTACGGAAAACGATTTATAGAGTTTCTGAGTAGAGCTATTGAATAATGAATTTATAATAATATTTGTGTTAACGGTACATTAGTAATAGACGTATTTTTTTTCTAAATTTATAGATTAAAAATAATCAATAGAGTCCACGCTGAACTTATTTATTGAAAAAATGCGTTGTAATTTTTTTATATGCTAGTTGTACGAAATCTTTAATTGAATTTTATTAAACTTATAGATATAAAAGATTGTTATTCTTTTTTATTTACGTTCATTTTAAAATAAGTATTATAGTGTTAAAATATATTATAAAGCACGATATATTAGATAACATAACATCGTAATACTACAACAGTATTGTCGACATCCCGTTAATTGGAGACTCAGTGTATTTTACTGTGAGTATATTGAAGCACTTAGAGCAGACTGAATTATCTAATTAACTTTTGTAAGAAATTATTTTATTACCTTTATTAATATTAGAATCAGATAATTATATTTGAATTAAAATATTCTGAAAGAATTTTTTTAGAGAATTGCAGCAATGTTGCTCTCACTGTCCTTCAGTAATTAAAATATATTTCGTTTCTCAGCTAAAGACATTACATTTGAAAATATTTTTAATCAACCGAGAAATCTTGTGGGTATAAGAGCAATAATTACTTACGGTGCATGTACGCACTTTACACAACTTGTCAATACCACCAGCAAAAGCCAGGGTTATCAATATCATCAAGAGCATCAGAACAGAGCAGGAAAGATACTCAGGGAGTTACCACTGATTGCTCTCAGGCTCATAACTATCATTATCAATGTATACCCGTGACTGTATCACTTAACAGCCTAGTGAAAGAAAGTGCAATTCATTCAAACCCCAGATAAAGCTGCTGAAAAGTTTTTATTCAACAGAATATCCCAATTGAATTTTTCATCCAATTAACCTACTTCTAGTACTGTAAAAGACCACAAAAATAAATTATTCTGCTCAGAATGTAGATAGTTATTAAAAGTAAAGAGTTCATTTTTCAACACCAGTTTGGATTTAGGAGTCAGCACACGAAGATCGAACAAATCAATTGAATTTTCTGTATAATTTAGAAATTATTAGAAAAAAACACTATGTCTCAGCTGTTATCTTCGATATCGTTTAAGTTTTTGACAAAATATGACATGAAGTCCTACTCTACAAAATCTGATCAAACTTACCGATCAAATTGCATAACATACTACAATTTTGTCTGGAAAACAGATCATTTCAAGTAAAAATGACAAGCAGCAAGACTGAAAGTACGGATCTATATAAAATACATGCTGGAGTTCCTCTAGGAAGCGTATTTAGACCAAATTTGTACAGGCTTTACAAGGTGGATCTTTCAAAAACATCCGAAATTATGACTGCAAAATATCCTGATGACAAGACCATAAACACATGTGCACATAGATAACCATAACATAAACACACGTGAGGCCCTTGTAGAAATTAAACTTCACCTAAATAAGCTGCAGCAGTGGCTCAGTAAGCGGAGGATTAAAATGAATTCTATTATATCATACCATATTATCTTCATTTTAAGGAAAGAAAATGGCCCCTGATTAGTATGTGGTCGTGCAATTCCACTATCATACCAGGTTGAAAAATGTGGGGATGCACCTCGATCGCCGACTTATTCAGAAGACGCACAGTTGGACAAAATAAAAGCAGCTCAGCCTTAAGAAATTCGACTGTCTTTTCGGTGGAAAATCATCGCTCACCTTGAAAAATAAAGTTCTCATATACAAATCTGTCTAAAAATGTAGTGTGTAGAAATCCGAGAAACTTTCAAATTTCCGATGAAAAAAAACATTTTTTTTTAAGCACGCATGCGTAATATGCTTTTTTGTAAACTTATGGACTTGAAAAGTGATAAAAAAGCAAGGCTTATGGTTTTAATCATTCATTTTTTTTTAAGCAAACAGTATGATAATTGTTAATTTTTTCCGTTTTCGCAGTCCAACTGAATGTAATAAAAATTGAAAAGGACTGTGATTTTTTTAAATAAACCGTTTATAGTCGATGCCAAAAACGAGCAAAATCATAAACACAGTCAAGCATTACAAAGAAATGAACACAAGTTAGATGGACGCATCTTATAATGTAAACATATAGGAAGCATTTCACGTCAACCCAATCACGCTACACCGTATAATTTACTCAAATCGCGCAATATCTACCTAGCTATAAAATTACCCATTTTTTACTACGAATTTGAAAAGAGCAGAAAAGTTTACGTTTCAACAGGCTTTTTTTTTAATATTTCGCTATCAAGTTAACAATTTGAGCAGACTCGATTTTATTTAGTAGAGGTATTTAATGATCTGCAAGCGGTATCTACAAAATAGTCTACAGGGTGCTAAAACAATCGTAGAAAGCTCTATTTTTTTTTAAATTGCACGTCGAGAAAAGAACTTTGCGATGATACAAGTTTAATTTGGACTAAAAAACACTGTAGTCCACGTGAACGTTTAAAAGATCCAGTTTTTCTGTCATTTAAAGTGTTGTGCTTAAATACAACTAGCAATTTGATATTAACGCAGATGGATTGAGCAACTCGAATAAATTCATAATATATATGGATTTAAAGAAGACAAAATTTCCAAGAAATGGAAAAAAATTCATCTTCGATGAAATTTGACGGCGATAGAAGCATTTGAAAATTTACGAAATTTCAATAAAAATTGTTATTGCGATAATGATAATGCGGAGCGTACTTAGTCCATTTTTGAGAGATTATAGGCAAATTAAATTTTATCGTCCTGCCAAAATGCCCAAAATAACCCAAATTAAAATTGGCTCGGGGCGCGAAGTCGATTTTTCCCACCTTCTGAGTGTGCTATCCAAAAATGTGTTATTTTTGGTCCGTTGGCCCGGTATGAATGTTGTATTCAATTCAATGTAACTTTTTTTCCTTAAGGAGCACGCGGACCAGCGACGTCTCAATCGATTTAGTTATTCAAGACCTTCAAGTCCCTAAATTTTGGTAGAGAACTATTAATCGATTATCTCAGAACATTCGATAAAGTATTAAAAACGTAATTTTGTAAAAATCGAGTTCCCATTACATAATTAAGGATTGGAAGTCTTGTGACGAGGGCACCACTTGGACACAATTTTTTTGGAAAAATATAACCCCTCAACTATTCAGAAAAAAATTTTCAAAGTGCTTGGTGAATCGATCATTTCTAAATATCACTAAGAAATTATAAATTGGCTCCGGTTCCTTTTTACAATGTGATAAAATCGTATGAAAATCATTTTATAACTCAGTATCCCCCATGTTACACTCGTAAAATCTAATAGTATATACATGATGACTTTCATTATAGTTTATAATAATAAGTATACAGGCAAACCCCGTTATTCGCAGGGGTTCGGTTCCGAAAAAGTACCGCGATCACCGAATCCGCGAATACCGAATCATTGTTATTATAGGAAAAGGGGGGTTCGGTTCCTCGTCCGACTGAAATGTCAATATACATATTAGTAAAAAAATTTTTTATAAGAAAAAATTGAAGTTTTGATCAATATTTTTTTTATTTTTGTACTAAAATATTGAGTCAAACTTTTTTGTTTTGCTCTGCGCAATAGATCTTTGTACAAGTTTTTATAACACTCTAATGATTTTTCGATATCTTGTCTAAATTGAAGGCTTCGAGTCATGATTGGGTCGTAATTTAATGCTCGTTCAATGAGACGCTCTGCATCAGCCAAAATATTTCCAACTACTTTCGCAGTAAGAACAGGCTTGGGTTCTTCATCTGCAATCATTTCTTCTTCAGCTGCTGTATTTTGCACGATTGCATCAATTTCGTCGACGCTTAAAGCTTCAACTGACGCTACCAAATCAAGAAGCTCGGATTCTTGCAAGTCACTGAAACCTTCTCCACCAACACTTCTTGCAATGTTAATAGCTTCACGTATCACTTGCTCTTGCTCATGACCTTGAATTTCAGACACTTGATTTTTCTCAACTAGTTCCGGTAAAAGGTTGTTCCATCCATTATTCAAAGTTGTATTTTTGATCATTCTCCAACTTTCATCAACAATAGATATTGAGTGAGCGATGTTAAAATTTTTCCAAAATTGTTTAACATAATCTTCAGATGTAGATTGATGCAAGCTATTTAAAATGTTACGTGAAACTCCCTTGATGTAGTATGATTTAAATGTTGCAATTATCGACTGATCCATTGGCTGAATAAGAGAAGTGGTGTTTGGTGGCAAAAATAAAATTTTGACATCTGGATTTGACGTCATCAAAGCGTCTGGAAGAGCAGCGCAGTTATCGAGCAACAACAATACTTTAAAGGAAAGATTCTCTCGACTTGAGAATGCTCGGACTTCAGGTACAAAGGAGAGGGTAAACCAGTCGGTGAACGTTTTTGCTGTAACCCAAGCTGTTTTATTAGATTTCCAAAATACTGGAAGATGCTCTTTTTGTTTTCTTTTCAGAGCTCGAGGATTTTCTGCTCTGTAAACCAACATCGGTTTACACTTGAACGTACCAGCAGCATTTTTAAATTTTTGTAGTCACTGATCCCGTTTAAATAATTACAGTACGAGTTCCACATCGGTTCCTTAAAAGTTAAAAGTTTCCCGGATTTCCACAGTGTACACAAGTGTTCAGCAATCTCCATAGTTTGTTATTTTGATGTTAATGAAGGGAAGATAGGCTTAGTCTAAATGAGACAAGATGAATGAGTTGACCAAGAATTTCTTTAAATCTGATCACAGGCGTTGTAGCAAACCATAAGCACGAGGAGAGGTGCCTGTGAAATGACTTTTCCAGTTGAGCCTATCAAATATTGGTCAGAGGTGAATAAAATTGACGTTTTCTTGGCAACCTCCAATTTCAAGCCGCTGCCTTGCTGCGTCAGACGTTTAATTACCTTTTTAAGTCATCAAAGACTTTCAATATCTAACTAGCAGCTCAATATAATCAGCATCATCAGTGCCGACTGAGTTTGCGCACAAAAAGGACTCCTTGCAGAACAGATCGTGTAAATAATTCCAGTTTATTTCAAAGACTCTGAGCCAGTTATGTTAGAAAAGAGCAAAAAAGTAAGAGATTATCCATATTTTTTTCAGTTTAATTTTATGATCACGAGTGACAGACTGTTGGTATTGTACAACCAATGTGCGAACAGCAAGGACGTTTAGGGATACTCTCAAGCGCTGCTATGACCTTATTAAGCTTTATATCCGCAGTAATTGTTTTACCTTTCAGTTCGCCTTAGGTACCCCTCACTCGATGCACGACAGCATAGAATACATATGGTTCGACAAAGAAGGTTCAGATAGCAAAAACATGTCGAAAGCTGTAGATGGATCAGCAAGCAAATCAGCGTTGACAATATTGTGTCACAAATCGAAGTTGGTAGTGCGAGACACAGTACACAAAAGTGCAATAATCTGTTTAGTCTTTTCACGCTGAGTAGGCGTTTGCAAGAGACTCCCTGGCCAAAGCCACACAGTAGGTAGTCGGTTGATGAGGCGCCAGGTAGTAGTTCGGATACCGTGGTGGAAGAAATGAAATGGACCATAAGCATGCTATTTGTGAGCCTTATTTCTATAATATTTTCATACCTTCTACACCGCCTCACGGGCATGTTAAACATAATACGTGCATAACAAAGTCAAATAAACAAAAGCATGCCTTACAGAGCCACAGGTAAATACTTTAAGTTGAGCAGAGTCTGAAAAATTTCACTTGACGAGTTTCATTTAACGAATGTGTCCGTCCCGCACTTAATGGGTTAATATAACTGTACTTGTGAAGACCGGCAGATCTGCTGTGAATAATAAGTAAAGTAAAAGCTCAATAACGCTCCCTTGTGGAACACCAGCCTTTATTGGGCATGATTGTGAAAGTTCATCTTTTATTTTGACTTAAAATGTTCTTCTACTGATGTACGTCTTAATTAATGTGAACAAATTTGAAGGTAGGATTGCCCACAACTTGGCCAACAGTCCCTTATGTCATACCTTGTCGAACGCTTTTGCAACATCCAGAAAGACCGCGTTACCATATTTGTTTGCCTCAAAGGCTTCTCTCATCTCGTAAGTGACTCGATTTACTTGTTAGATTCTAGAGTGTTTTTCTTTGAATCCAAACTGATGATTCGGGATTATGTTTTTGCTTTAAATTATTTGGTGCAGCCTAGCTTTGATTATTTTCTGGCAGATTTTTTATAGCGTTGGAAGTAAGCTGATTGGCCTGTAGGGAAAGGCTACTTCGAGGAGCTTTCCAGGTTTGAGGATTAAAATTATCACTGCATTTTTCCAGATTGTGAGAAAGTAGTTTAGTCTTAATATTGCGTTGTATATTATTGTAAAGAGTTTAGTTGCTTTAGCAAGCATATTTTTGATCATACTATTGGTGATTTTGTCGTATCCAGGTGATTTTCTGTTTTCAGTTATTTTATTATGCTGTATACTTCTTTGATTTTGATTAGAGGTACAAAGTAATTATCACATTAGTGTGCGGGTCGAGAACTTCTGACTCTTCTATCTCTAACGAGATTCTTCTGTTTACCGGTGCGAAGGCGTTTGAGAAGTATTTTTCGAATACCTGTAGATTATTCACAGTGGTCTTTGCCCATGTACCATTATTCTTGCGTATAGAGGAAACATGAACTATTTTTAATTTTTTTTTGTTGCTTTCTAAAGTTATTCCTGCATGTTTTCTGTTGCTGTTAATTGCTCCAAGTATTCCTGGATGTCTTAGTTGCGTTCCTTGTGCAGCACTACCTTCAGGTTTTTTGTTGAAATTTATCGGCTGCTGATCTTGTGGTTTGCCAAATTTTTCTAAATTTCCATTTGTTTGAAATTTTTTCTATTATTATTTGTGAGTATTTGATACCTTTCTGTGTCTTAATATTTTTCGTGAACTTTGAATTTTCTGCTGCTTCGGTAATCGTATTTGAGGGGTTTTTGACTGCGATGTCTACATCATTATTAGTCTTTAAACTTATGTTGCAGTTTAAGTTATACATACCTTTATCACATACCTTTGGTCACTGCGAAATTCAAGAGGTCCGGGAGCTTTTGAAGGTCTGTCGGACAGTAGGTTTGCTCGCCCATTGAATATACCTCCAGTCCGCTTTTCTAAATTATTTTGAATAGTTCTCTTCCCTTGGATGTTGACGTGATTGTTCTGGTGCCCTACCAAGGATGTTTGGCATAAAAGTCACCTCCAATCAGGAAACGATCTCCCGAATGCTTAAAGAATTGGGAAAAGCTGTCCTAGGTGACTGAATATCTTGGGGGAAAATATATAGCCTATATATTTACAGGACCTGTTGTTTGTATTTGGATATTTGCTACTTGCAAAAATTTGTAGTACCGGTTCAATTGGATGATATCGTATTTAAATTTTGATTAAGGAGGTACCTGCGTGCTAATTGTACTGAACAGATTTTGATGAAACTTCGATAATATCATTTAAATGACATCAATGGTATTCAGTTAAATTTTTATGAAGATTGGTTACGTATTTGTAAAATTACGAAGAAGTAATTTAACATAGGATCTCATAGGAAAGAGTCAAGTTTCGAAGATGTCTCACAAATGACTGAAAAGATATTAATGAAATTTTCCATGCACGTAGCCATAAGAGTTAAATAATAAATGAAAAATACTCTCATCAGATTGGTCGACTTTAACCCTTTAACGCCCAAAATTGTAATTTCGCGCATAAATGTTTGATCGATTGAAAACCATAGATAAAGTTGATGTTTTTTCTCGAAAACTCATACCCAGGGGTTTTTGGGTGTGTTCTTTCAGAATCCGGTACTATTTTTGCAAAATATTAACAAAATCATTGTTTATTATGCAAATGAAAAAAAAACGTGATATTTCGACTCGAAATTTTTTTAAAAGTTGATTTTCCACCTTTTCCTGCTCTCGGAGGGCTCTGAAAACCCTAAGAGTCGTGCAATTTTGCTATAAACCTTCGAGAAATACATTATCGGGATTTTCATCTAGCCCCTTTGCTTCTAAAATGTCGGATTTAGACCATGCAGCTGTATCAAACTTCATCAATTTTTTTCTCGACAACCGTAAGCTTGACGGAAAATTTTTATAGGACAAAAAGGGTTTGAAATCTTTTAGAGAATACGTGTGAATTTTATCAGAATTTTTGAAAATATTTTTGATTTTTCAAAATTCGATTATTTTGCAAAATATTCAAAATTCATCCGAAAATTCTGAAAAAATCCACACTTATTCTTTGGACGATTACAAGCACTTTTTGTTCAATAAATTTTTTTTCTTAAGTCAATAATGAGTACAAGATTCGTAAAGTATTTTTCTGATTGTATACTTAAAAATACTTCACTCGCTCAGAGCAGGAAAAGGTTGAAAATCGACTTTTAAAAAAATTTTCGAGTCGAAAAATCACGTTTTTTTTTTCATTTGCATAATAAACAATGATTTTGTTAATATTTTGCAAAAATAGTACCGGATTCTGAAAGAACACACCCAAAAACTCCTGGGTATGAGTTTTCAAGAAAAAACATCACTTTTATCTATGGTTTTCAATCGATCAAACATTTATGCGCAAAATTGCAATTTTGGGCGTTAAAGGGTTAAGCTGAGAAATAAACAAATTACTTATTATAACACTGATTTCCTAGTGACTTTGACACGCGATAGGCTGCCGCGCGAAGAACACGAACATATCCTTAGTATTTAAATTTCGTACAACGCAGGAAGACTATATTACAGCAATTTTTAGATAAAAATTTGATAAATAGGTTGGTGTAAGTAAATAAAAAAAATTTTCTTAAACTATAATAAACATTTATTATTGTAAAGGAGAAATCACTGATAAGCATTCAAATTTTGACTGGTATTGAGTAAGCAAACAACGAGCAGAACAGTATGCGCACAAGGTCACTGCGCATCACATGTGACTTATGCAACTAAGACGCTCAATATATATTTGTCTCTAGAAAAGTACTAGCAAAAGTAGCACGCAGGTACCTCCTTAAGACAGCTGCACCGTCATGAACCTTTTCGTCCGGATGGTTACTCGTATGTGTGTAATAATTTGGTATTTGGAGTTATTTTTTAAACTTGAAGTGTGTTTCAGACATTAGCACGATGTAAACGTTGTGGTCAATTAAAAAATGCTCTAATTCAAGTACTTTCTGCATTATACCATTAGATAGGATTTTTTTTAGCAAAGTTGTTATAAAATTCAGCATCATATCTATTTTATCCATTAGTTGGCCAATCTGCTTTTTGAAATCTTTAATGCTTTTGCTGTTATTATTTACCTGTACAGCTTGAAAATCTGTTTGTCTTGAGTTGTTTGGTTGGGTAAACGTTGCTTTGGATTTTGCCTGCGCGTACGTAATGCTTAGGTTAACGTACTGTGATGAGTAACGGTTTTTATTGGGTGTATAATTTGTCGATTGATAACTCGATACGTTGATAACTCAAACGGGTATAGTGTAGCTTGTAACGTCAAACGGACTGGG